TCCCACACAAACAGCTCCTTGGGAAACCAACGCGCCTCTCTGCACATGTATCGTGTGTCTCTGCTTTCTTACGCGCCGAAATAGAGAACACAAAACAAGAGAAAGAGAGAGAGAAAGTGATAACTAAAATTGGCATTCTCTGACATGTATGAAGATGCATCTTACACAGAATTGATGTCAATCAAAGTGAATTGTCATTTCTGTGTGTTTTGAAGGGGAAACGAGCACTGTACGAGATGATATGCAACGCGAGATGTTTGCAGCATAATGATGATGGTGGAAAACCAGCGTTAGGGTAACTCCTCTGCTCCCTTCTGAAGGATTCCTCCATGAGCTGAGAAGAGGTGTGACAACAATCTCACGGTGTAGGCACTCTCAGAAAGGTGTTTTTGGGGGATGAGAAACATGGACCAAGTTGCATCTGCGGACTGCACATCAGGATACTCCCTCTGCTGTGCTACCTACTCTACAACGTGCGGAATGAGGCTGAATTGACAGCGGTGCTGGAGATGACTGTGGGTGTGGCACACAACCTGTATTTCTTTGGCTTCCAGATGTAGTCTACTTGCTACTCCTTCTGTAGAAGTAATTTGTGGTTGACGAGGTGGATGAAAGCCAACCAAAACACACTGGATGCGCATTGCTAGCTGCGGATGCGACATGACAACTTTTGGGCATCATTCACTGATGGTGCACCACTGACGTGATGCGAGCAGCACCGACGAGGGAGGGAAAGGGCTGCTGGGGGTGATAGGTGACTCTTTGTTGTGCCGATGCTCTTTGAGGTGGTGTGAAATGACACAATAAAAAGAGATTATGAGCAGGTGTGTAAAGCACTTGACTGGCAGGGGCAATGCTTTGTTGTGAACGTTCCTCTGTTTTCTCCTGGTGTGCGGAGTCGCAGGGATCCAATGCTCCATTTATGGTTGCTTGGGGAGGGGGGTTCTGCTTTATGCAAACGGAAAAACATAACGGTTGAAACCATCTTGATGGTGGTGGCAATACACGACGTTGTGTGAGGTGTGATGACTTTGGATGGCCATTAAGATATATGTGTGTGTGTGCTTTTGTCTTTTGAATTCCTCCGGAGGGAAGCAAGTCTAGTTGAGTGGGAAAGTGTGTTGAATTATTGCTGCTTCGACGTCTCCTTCACCTGCACATGGCCGTTGTGAAGGAAACGATCAAAGAGTCCATCTTGCAGAAGTTGACACTAAATCAAGTTGTTGGTGGGTGCTCTTTTTGTTTTTGTTCCTGCATACGCTTGTGGTGCTCACCATGTGTTCAAGGAGCA